CTTGAGGGGCTGAATGGCCTTCTCTTGCTGTCTTTCTTACAGTCACTCTCAAATCCTCTTGTCTCATTCTAATTCTCTTGCATCTCCCACATATCTAGGGACAACTGTAAGATTATGACAAGCCTTTCCATTATTTCCACACCTAATTTCTTTAGTCACTTGAGGTGCAAGCTACCTGGGTGAGATGACATATCTGCTCTTGGGAATTTCTTATTTTATGCCTTTGGAATGTTTACAACTAGCAGTGTTGAGTCAAGCCACGATGTGAGAGACTGGAATCAAACTGACTGGTTCCTTTCCCTGAAGTAAATTAGTGAACCGGGTGGATTTTATGACAATTAGTCCTGTAGTTTCCATGGTTGTTTTTTCTGCTATCGGGCCTAGCATTATAACAAGTTTGCTGAATTCATTTTCATCACCAGGCATGGATTTGAAACACTCAATGAGAAGGCTGTTCTTCCAGTACTGTAACTATTTAGCTTTCATACTTCCTTAAGGACATTTTCTCTGATTGCTTAAATATCCAAACAGAATAATATTACAAAAGTAATATTTTTCAAGGCTACTAAGAGGTTTTAATTTTGATAGCAACAAACTTGATGTTTTATGATGTCGTGTCACATAAGGAAGCTTTTGTGAGATCACAGTGGTATTTCCACTGTGTATAGTGAAGCATCAGATTAAACCTTATTTCTAGTTTAAACTTAATTTGATCAGGATCTTGATCAATCAACATTATGTAAGGTTGCTAAGTTTATCAGTGTGTTTGGCATAGCTCTAATATTATTAATTATAGTAATACCTACTTATTATCTGAATATATTTGCTAGACCGATTTAAGCATTCTGGCTGCAAGAAAAAAAGTCTCAGAAGCAATGATAGAAAAATATTTTTAATTACAGGATGGAACAAAAAGGTCAGGAATGCTCCAGAGCTCATGAGATGATGCAAACACAAGTTACTGCTGTTAAGCTTTCATAAGAAATCTTGCTACATTTGTAATTAACTCATTAACCTATTGAACAGCGTAGATAAAACCTAAATTAAATTGCTTGTTTTTCATAATTCATTTTTGGGGCAATAAAATAACACTGCATGAGTGGAAAGCTGCCAGGCAAGGTCTTCTACAATTTCCCTCCTGCTATTTTTATAACGTAGAAACACCAGCTATTATTGCAGAAGTTGAACTTCAAACTGAAGATGTACACATATGATATTGAGATTTTTAAAAAAAATTATTAATGGGATATTGTCCTTGATGTTTTGTAGCAACTTGAACTTTTGCAGTAGACCAACAATGTCCTTAGTGAGGGAATTTGAGAATTTTGACCTAGCAGCATTGAAGGAATGGCAATATATTTCCACTTAAGGATGGTGTGTGATTTGGAAGTGAGCTTGCAAATGGTGGCATTTTCATGTGACTGCTGTCTTTGTGTTTCTGGATCGTAGTGGTTGTGGGTTTGGATGGTGCTGTCTCAGGAGCCTTGGTGAATTTATGCAGTGCACCCTTTAGATGGTACACACTGCTACTGCTAAATATTGTTGGAGGGAGTGAATGTGGATATGCTAGTTAAGCAGTTGGCTTGTTCTGAACGGTGTCAAGCTTCCTTTGTGATATTGGCACTGCACGCTTTCAGGCAAGTGGGAAATATTTCGTCACATTTACTGACTTGTGCCTTTGTAGGTCCTGGGATGGCTTTGAAGAATCAGAAAGTGATTTAATCACCTGAAGCATTCCAAATCTCTGACCTGCTCTTGTGACCACAGGATTTATATGGATGGCCTTGTTCAAGTTCTAGTTAGTGGTATCCTTCAGGATGTTGTTAGTGGGGGATTCTTCAACGGCCAGGTAAATGAACAAATTAATGGGACACAAATCTTGGGTGTTATAGCTGAAGTATTTATGCAAAGACATGAATGCACAGCTGCCCCCCACCCCTGGATCCAGCCTAAACTATGGGTTAAGTACGTGGATGATACTTTCATGATTATTAAGTAATCTAAGTTAGAAGAAACACACCACCTTATTAACAGCATATTCACCAGGATCCAGTTCACCAGGGAAGAGGAGAACAAAATCGACTCCTAATTCTAGACATAATGGTGGAATGAACAAAAACAGTGAATTCTGGAACAGTGTATACAGAAAGACTACACACACAGACCAAATCCTGAATTACAACATTAACCACCCCAGCGTCCACAAGCACAGCTGTGTTAAGACTGTTTAAACGAGTGATAACACCCCAGAGCTACGCAAAAACAAAGAGGAACATCTATACAAACAATGCGTATCCTAACAGCTTCATCTGCCGATGCCTATTAAATGAACAACACCAATAAGACGTTGTACGCCCGACATGCTGGTCACCCTACCCTATATTAGTAACATATTGGAACTGACTACAAGACTTCGACGATCTCTTAGGATAATGATAGCACACAAACTAACCGGCACACTTTACCAACTACTGTCAAAGACAAAAGACCCTATATCCACAATGAGCAGGACAAATGTGATATACAATACATAGGACACACAAGAAGGAAACTTGCCACCAGGATACACTGACACCAACTCGCAGCAAAATGGCACGACCAACTCCCCCTCACTTCTATTCATTCCGACAAAGAAGGACGTTAGTTTAACTTGGACAACATAACAGTACTGGGACATGCAAAACAAAGACAAATATGAGAACTCCTGGAAGCCTGGTTTTAAACCACAGGTACCATAAACAAACATGTCGAGATAGACCCCATCTTCATACCACTATGGAGCAAAACCGGAAACAGAACTACCCACCATAACGGACCGGACCATATAAATTCAGAATGGAACAGAAGAACAGTGCTTCAACAGAGGTTAGACAGCACAAGATGTCCCCTAGAAGGGGGTCGAACCAACAATTCCAGTAGGGGATTCCATGATGCTAATGCCACTGAAGGTCAGAGGATGATTGGTGAGGTTATAATTATTCAGGTTTGATTTGTGTTGCTTTCTGTGTATCCAAGATGTACCTGGATAATTTTCACATTTTTGGCTTCTTTCCCCTAATTTCTTTGTGTGTGTGTGTAAAACCTCTGAGCAGCTGCATGATCAAGCAGCTTAGAGGAAACATTGATTTTCGGGTAGGTGTCAGAGTTGTAACAGTCTTGGAACAGCTTGCCAAGTTCTGGAGCACACGATAGCTGGAATGTTAGCCCATAGCCTGTGCAGTATCTGGTGCCTGCAGCTGTTTCTTGATATCACGTGGAGTGAATCAAATTAAGACCATAAGACATAGGAGCAGAAGTGGGCTGTTCAGCACATTGAATCTGCTCTGCCATTTAATGAGAACATGGCTGATTTGATGATGCTGAACTCTGCTGTCCTGCTTTTTCCCCGTAACCCTTGATTTCCTTACTGATTTGCATCAGTGAAGCTGGGGGCCTCTGGCAGAGGCTAACGTGGCTCTGTTTATCCATTGTTGATCTATTCTTAAGTGATCCTAAATGGGACTAATTTGTACCACAGTGTGTTTTCCAAGGTAACCTGGGTATCTCAGCAGGTCTGGCAGCATCTGTGGAGAGAAAGCAGCGTTAACATTTCAGATCAAGGCTCTGATGAAGGGTCACTGGATCCAAAACATGAACTCTGATTTCTCCCCAAAGATGCTGCCGGACCTGCTGAGCTTTTCCAGCAACTTCTGTTATTGTTTCTGATTTCCAGCATCTGCGGTACTTTTGGTTTTTATCCACGTGGATTTCTATTGGATCTTGGAATTGTCCCAAGATGATGGAATCCTTTGCTGGCAAATCCATACCCCCTGTACTTCCAAAATGTGATTTGCACCAGGCCCAGGATCAGGCCCACCAACAGGTTATCTTGTCTGCTTGACTTTCTACCCGCTGGGTCACTAGAGATGAGGAATGCGTGTGGCATGTGATCCACAACTTACAAAACGGTCACTTCAGACAGGGAAGTGGACTTGTAGATCTAGCACTGTACGTCAGGCAAGTGGCTTAAACAGATTTTGATGTCCGCATGCAACTGTCCATCTTAATCTCCAGTAAACTGAATAAGTATGCAAGCTCCAATAAATACATTTCTTTTCATGGTGCTTGTGGATTGAAACGCCATTTCAGCTTATGTATTGCCCATGACACTATTTGTAGAAGCTACAATATTATTTCATGTTTCACAATTGAAAGTGGGATGAATTTTTCAGCAAAATTGTGTATTTGAGGAGTGTAGTCAATTAGTAAAGAAATTTTTGTGACAAAATGTGCTTGTTTTATTGAGAATTTAAGTTTGTCTCTTGTAATATGTACCTGATCATATTTGAAGTTTTAGGAAATATATCGCCCTTCAAAACAAGTGAGGCTTCTCTTAACATATATTTTTTGACACCGTGTTACTGCTAACTTGATAGCTGTTCTGTCATCACTGTAAGACAATTGAAAAAATGAAGATGAAAAGTCATGTTTTGCATTGACAGTTCTAGAGCTGAACCTCACTGATATATGACAAAACGTCTTGTCATGCATCTATTTTAAGCTAATTGGAGAGAACGTTTGAATGTAACCATTTGCTAACATATTTATCTCTTGGGTTTTAATTCCACCTCGAATGAAACGCAGACACAAGCTTTATTTTCACCTGTAACTGACATCATATCTAGGCTAGACTGTAACATTCTGCAGCATCTATTTCATGCACATTTGTGGCACAGTTATTTGTCAAATGGGGGAAAATGAACAGAAACAGAATCTCTTCTGGTATTGTGGAATGAAGATGTCTAAATGTTTTGTTACCTTCCTTGATCAGGAACCTAAAATTACTGCTGTCCTTTTACTTCATAACAAACTTCTTCCCTATTGTTGTAATATGTGATTAATGAATTTGCTGTTTGTTTGGAAAGATAAATTCTGCTGGCCTTGTACGAATTCTGTAGCTTAGTTGAACCAAGGAATGTATTTATGCCATGTTTATCCTTTATTTGCTTTTGTTTTTGTAGGTTGTCTTGGTGAAATTGCCTGTCTCAAGTGTACTGCACTGAGGTTAACAAATCACAGGTAAGATAACTCTTTATTGTCAGACAGTTGCGGTTTTCTACGAGAATGCAAACCAGCAAAACTATTTCATGTTGAGTGTATATTTTCCAAGTTAACCTTGTTCATTTCCCCATTACTCCCCAAAGCTACTCATGGGGATACTCTTTAAAACAAAATATTGTTTGGGTATAGGCCAATTCTCTTTAACCTTAAATGTTACATAGTGTATTGAAAATGGATTATTCACTCTTCTAAATTAGTTGAAATGGTTTAACTGGTACTGAACATTAATTGTCCTCATTCTCCCATTTCAAATATTGGTCCAGTTTTTCCTTCACCTTTCCATACCATTGACCTTTCAGGTAGTCTGTTCCACATGTTCACTACTTGAGAAAATAGTTCAAGTTTAAACTGTATGCACTTTTTCCCCAGACTTGAGCTCCTGCCCTTTGTTTGTAGATTTTGTGACAGTCTTGAACTTAATATTTCTTGCAGTTCCTGAACATAGATTACTTAAGTTTGGCTGAGACAGCAAGAACCGTAGATGCTGGAGTCCGAGATACCAAAGTGTGGAGCTGGAGGAACACAGCAGACCAGGCAACATCAGAGGAACAGGAAAGCTGGTGTTTCAGGTTGGAACCCTTCTTCAGAAAAAGAAGGGTCCCGACCTGAAATGCCAGCTTTCCTGTTCCTCTGATGCTGCCTGGCCTGCTGTGTTTCTCCAGCTGCACACTTTGGTATTACAGAAGTTTCACTTGCCGTATTCAAATGATCTGACAATTGCTTTGTTTCAAAGAGTCAGAGTTATACAGCATGGAAGCAGGCTCTTCGGTCCAACTTGTCAATGCTGACCAGATACTCTACATTAATCTAGTCCCATTTGCCAGCATTTGGCCTGTATCTCTCCAAACCCTTCCTATTCATGTACCCATTTAGATGCCTTTAAATGTTGTAACACTAAGTTTGCTTGTTTATTTCTAATGCGTTTTTAGTACATAAAGTCTTTCCATTAATAATGTGTAGGGTGAGTGGTGTTCATTTTCATCGATCAAGGATGAGAGAATTTATTTTTGAGCCATTATTGGGCATAATTACATGACAGATGATAAACTGTCGATCAGGCACTGAGAAAGTACTGTCTGAATTTGTAGCTGGATGCTAATGTTCCTGGGTTCAGGACTGAAACCCTAAACTAGTTCGCCCTAAAGAGAGATTAAGCCAAGAAATCTGAATTGCAATTTTTCGTAATTTTTTTAACTTGTTACTGACATTTTCTGGATAATAAGTAGTTATTTTGAATATAATACTACTGGAGTCGGTGAGCTCAGTTGGCTGGATGGCTGGTTTGTGACGCAGAGTGACGCCAACAGTGTGGGTTCAATTCCTACATTGGCTGAGGACTCCTTCTCGACCTCTCCACTTGCATGGTGATTCTCCATCAAACCACCACCTTTCTTGAATGACAGAGCAGCCCTCTGGTCTGCTAAGACTGTGGTGACTTTACCTTTACTCCTGAATTGCTTTGTTCATTTCAACTTATTAAACTCTGGCTCATCCATGAATAAAACTAATTTGAATTTATCTAAGGTGACATAAATTCCACATTCTTAATGCTCGTTGTTCTGTAATTGATGTACTAAATCTATAGTAACATACATCAGAAACCAGTTCCCTGCTTTTGAAGGCACATGCCATTGGTGGACAGCAGTATCACAACTACTGGGCTTGCAGTGACCCTATTGGTGTTTTGGTGTTCAGTTTGGTAATGGAAAATATTGCTGCTAATGCCCATTGAGACCATGTTCTGTCCAGGCATGCACTTTCTCCAACATTTTTCACTGGATAATTATTGGGTTCAGATATCTAAGCAATTTTACAAACACTGGTTTGGCAATTCCAAGAGTCATTCTCTCCTCTATCTTCCCTGGCAGAGCTCGGTGTACGTTGGTGAACCTGTGAGTTCAGCTGCCATGTTCCTGATCTTTAATATGCTGCTTGTACCTATGAGTACTTGACTGATAGAGTGTTGTAACATCTTTTACTGTATCATGCCACTTCAATGTCAAAAACATATCCAAATGTCTTAATCGGTTTGAAAGATCCTGTTTTACAGTCGTCTCTGTCTATGTACTCCATCTTAATGAAAATCAGAAAGAAAACACATGGTTGTTTGCACAGTATAGTCTTCCAGTTCGAAAGTTCAGCTTTTGACTTGATATAAAAAGTCAGCAAATTTTCCAATCCAACAAAAATTATTCTTGTCAAGTCCCCCAACAATTGAAAACACCTTTGTAACTGAAACATTAAAAAAAGTCAAGATTGCAGTCGGAAGAACAAGTAAATTAACATGCGTGTTAAGAGCAGAAACAACTTGTATCAACTTTTACAAGATGCAGCTTCTTCTGCTAATTTGAAGCTATTTTTTAAGCATGAATGGTCTTCTAAAACTGTCATTTCTCCCTTACAGTGAGCAATTCAACAAAATATTATGTACATAGGTATATTTATCTTCCATATCTAACTACTATGAAAGAATTTAGATCAAATTATCCAGTTGACATTGGTCTTCAATGTTTTCATTTGTGTAATATAGATTAAGTAAATTTCATAGCTACATTTTAATATTTTGTGCGTTATAATGCCATTGGATTTATTTTAGAAACATGTAGAAATACATGTTAACAATGCATCTTAAGCAGTTTGTAAGATCAGATTTGTGTGAGTTTTAGCATTTATGTAATATAAGTGTCTACTCTTTTGGTATGTTTCCCACATGTATTTTTTGTCAAAGTCAATACTTAGTTCTAAGCCGAATCAGAGATAGTAGGAACTGCAGATGCTGGAGAATCCGAGACAACAAGGTGCAGGGCTGGATGAACACAGCAGGCCAAGCAGCATCATAGGAGCAGAGAGGCTGACGTTTCGGGCCTAGACCCTTCATCAGAAAAGGGGGAGGGGAAGGGGGTTTTGAAATAAATAGGGAGAGAGTGGGAGGCGGATAGAAGAGGGATAGAGGAGAGGATAGGTGGAGAGGAAACAAACAGGTCGAAGAGGCGGGGATGGGGCCAGGAAAGGTGAGTGTAGGTAGGGAGTTAGGAAGGGGATAGGTCAGTCCAGGGAGGACGGACAGGTCAAGGGGGCGGGATGAGGTTGGTCGGTAGGAGATGGAGGTGCGGCTTGAGGTGGGAGGAGGGGATAGGTGGGAGGAAGAACAGGTTAGGGAGGCAGGGACGAGCTGGACTGGTTTTGGGATGCGGT